GTCCGTACGTACGTCTCTCTCTCTCTCTCTCTCTCTCTCTCTCTCTCTCTCTCTCTCTCTCTCTCTCTCTCTCTCTCTCTCTCTCTCTCTCTCTCTCTGCAATCAAAACATTGGCAATCCTTATCTCTTGTATTTAATAAATAATAATTAAAAATCTTTCGTAAATTATTTTATATATATTTCCCTGTTATTAACTAAACAAATAAAAATTGATAGAAATTGTTCTGTATATAAATAATAAGTATTTAAGACATTTCAAATAGTGAAGTTCTTCATAAAGTCGGTTTTTTCATATATTCTCTCTCCTTTTCTTTCTCTCTCATGTTTAAAAGCATTTAGTACGTGATTTCTTTAAGAGAACATACCAATAAATGTCACAATATTGATATTTATGATCGCCAGTTATTAAAATTAAAAGGACATTTCGCAATAACTAAAAGAAAACAAAGGAACGACTTTCTCATTTTTCCTCCCGTCTTATAACATCGCTAATCCATTGGCTACTTACTTCGTAGTGACTTTCGGCGAGGGTGAGACCGATGAGTTTACCACCGCGGGGGATTCGATGTAGATTGCGACCCACGCCTAATTTTGAAACTCACCGTTGTTTATTGCCGAATCCTTTTAGCCTCAAATGGGGTGCCGAATAGTTGCCATGTCTCTCTTCTTATTGCGAAAAAAAAAGCGTCGAAGATGCTAGTCGTTCGGCATTAAAGAGAAAGCTGTGAAAGAAAAATCCGCCATATAATGCAAACTTTGAAAATTGACGCGTTGTCATAATCATTTTAAAAAATTAGATAAAAATTTAGTTTTTTTTTTTATCATCACGAAATCTATATGGAATTCCCTCAATATCGCTCTTCTAAATATTTCAAAAATAAACCTTTTTATTTTCAATTAGTAAATAGATTAAAAATAAATTGTAAATAGATTTAAAGCTAAAATATATCCCGTAATAACTACGCGTAACAAATTTCGAGTTTCTCTTACACATTTGGAAAATTTATGCTGCTTCAGAGATGTATGAGTTAAATTCTAGCCTGGTATTCCGGGGAGGTTAATGCGACGCGAAATGACGAAGCTA